TTTTTTGATGAAATTGTACATAATGATTAAAATAAATTTTCGAATTCGAGTTTTTTTCGTTATTCATTATAATATTTTTTGCATTTTCTGAGAACATTTACCATAGTAATGGATATTTTTGTACACCATCAGAAAGTAGAGATTTCAACGAACAAAAAGCACACCGACTTTTTGAAAAAAGCTGATATTTTGACGCGAGAATTTTCGATTGAAAATTAGGGTGCTTTTTTGATATTAAGTCAAAATAAGGCGAAATAATAAATATTTCAAATCAAATAAATTACAGTGTATTTGGGACATAAAAAGGTAAGTTTTCACCAAATTTCGTGGAAAAAAATTTTTTTTTGTAAAAGATAAAAATAAAAAACCAAAAACTTGGTTTTTTGAATTTTTCACATAAATTTTGAGGTTATGTAAAAAAATTGTAATTACAAAAGTTGTAGATACTTTTATTACCTACAACTTTGCCATTTAACTTTTTTCCATAGGACTTGTAGTTTTGCCGGAAATCGAGATAAACCATTTTTTACCCTTAAACCCCCCCCCTCCCACTTCCCGACCTCAGATCGCCCGTAATTTATTTTTCCTTTAATTTTTATTATATTCCCCTCCTTTTCCAATGGGTTTCATCCTACTGTTATTTTTTTTGGTTTCAAAAATTATCGACCCTGGTCTACAATAACAATTTGTTGCTTCAAACCCAGACTTTTATTTTTACATTGTATATTTTAAAACCAATTCACGCAAGATACCGTCCAACGGGGTGAAGTGAATCTAATATGCTCTCTTAAAAATAACTAATATAATATAACATATTTGACCAATTGTCATAGCGAAAAGGCAGTCACTAATAATTAGTCAAATTCTACTGAATGAAATAGTCAAATTAGTAGATTTAAATTAAAAAAAAGTTTTAACCCAGCCGGGGATTGAACTCAGGTCTGTCACTTGTCAAGCTTGTCAAGCTGTTGACATAACCCATTCGGCTATCAGCCGCTCAAGAGCGATAAGATTATAAAAATCAATTTTATTTCTCAATAAATATATTTATATATTAATTTATTGTTCATAATATTTTAAAGTTGAATATATTATTTGTGTTGCTGTTTTGAGCTAAATTTTTTGCATCTTTATTTGTTTTTATGGGTCATTTAATCATGGAGCTTAGGTATATGCATTTAATTCAAATAATACTTTGTTGTTGGCCGCAAACGATTAAAGAAATTAGTTAGGTACTTTTGGTGACTAATCTTAAATTAGTCAAACTTTAACTATTTACGTAGTAAAGAATAACTAATTTAAAAGTGAAAACGACTATTTTATTAGTAATAAATGCTTGTACTAATTCAAATAGTATTTCATTTTTAGAGAGTGGTTATCTTCAGTTTTGCAAGGCGAGTTTGTCCCAAAAAAAATTCTTTTACGTGATCCATTTTTGTTTATTTTACGTGATCCTTAAAAAGTTATTCCACGTGCCTTTGCACCAGTTTTGCAAGGCGAGTTTGTCGAAATATTATTTTTTATTTTATGGGATACATTTTTTTTATTTAACGTGATCCAAACGGTTAAAATGATTATTAAACTAGATCAGACTTAAAACAAAAAACCAAAATTTTGATGAGAGAATTTATATTCCCAATTTCATACCACATGGCCTAAGTAAAAGTTGTTCTTGAGACACTTCACCCCGTATGACGGTACCTATTTTGTTAAATAAACATAATATTAGGATCAATGATAATAATGTTAAGTTTTTTGTTTTAAAGATAATAATAATAAAAACCTTTATTAACAGCAAAAGATGCCAAAAAATTACAACGTATGCACATGGACAAAAACAACTATAAAGAGAATAAATTTAAGTATATTAACTACAAATAATAAAATGTAAAAATATTTAAAAAATCTGGTAACAAAAAATAAAAAACAGTCATTTTAGTACAAGTTTTTGTCTTACGTTTTTCTTAAAGTGGTTTAGTGTCACAAAGAAAAAGTTAATAATAAAATTATTAGCAGTTCTACAAATTCTGTCTATTGGTGAAAAATATCCATAGTTTGTAGAATGTGTTCTGATATTAAATAAGGGAGTATTTTTATTACGTCTCACGGGAATATTAAAATGTATACCACTAACAAGGCAGGGCTATATATCTATATAATTATTTAATATTTTAAAGAGGTAATGAGGTCAATTTCCATACGTCTTACATATAAAGTTTGCAAATTTAGCTTGGTCCTAACAACATCATAATCAATTTCCTTAACCTTTATACCTAGTTTAAATGCACAAAGACGTAAATATTTGTTTTGAACACGTTCAATACTATATATTCCAACACCGATCGGACAAATGAATTCAAAACGCTAAGGAAAAATTTATACTAAGGGCGAGTGCTTCCTGTAGAATTATATAACTTTACATTTTGCAATTATTGCTATTATTAAGGTCCATATAATTTCTTTTACACCAATGTTCAATTTCATTCAGGTACTTCGCAATTTGTAACAATCATCTATGGATTTATACAACTTGACGTCATCAGCAAACAGCAGAATATTAATATACAAGTTGAATAATAGGGGAGATAAGTGACCGCCTTGTGGTACTCCAGAAGTAACCTTAATTGCATTGGACTTGCATATACTTTTAATGAAATTATTTTTTAAAAATTACCACTAATTTCATTACCTTAAAAAACATTATGAGAATTTAAAATTATTTCGCACATCAAAGTCCCACGTGGGACCATGGTACCATGTGATAATTGAAATAATTAAAGTTAATTTCGTCCTATTTTATCAAAATAATGCGATATATGTATTTTTTGTATACAAAGGTTTTAATTTACAACACAAAAAATACATATATTAAATTATTTACAAAATAACACGAAATCAGCTTGACACTGACAGAAAATTAACCTTAATTATTTCTATCAAAGTCACGTGGTGGGACTTTGATGTGTGAAGCATAGTACCTATACTTTTACCTAAATGAGTTGAATTAGGAAAGCCTATAAGTAATTGTGGTCCCAATAAAATTAGAAAAAATATAAAAAATAAATTATTAATATACAGGGTGCCCCGAGAATGGCACCAACGCCACACCATATTAATTATTATTTATTTTTATCTACATGTCAGAGCCAAGGTAGACATGGTTAATACTTTCACAGGCAAAATATTCGATCCACACAAATTTTCGATGAATTTAAATCGCAAAAAGGTAACTTTTTTATTTGATTTCGGATTTAAATGAATATTAAAGAATATTGTAGATAAATTAATGGGGAATCGCTTACATTTTAAAAATTTACAAAAAATAGAAGTACGTTTATAATATAGAGGTTTAAGCAAAAAGATGTTTTTTACCATAAGTTTAAGACACTCTGTAGAGTGACAAAACCGTATATTGTTCTAAATTATCAATTCACGTCTATTCTTAACAGTTTTGTTTTTGTTTCACCTCGATATATTTATTTTTGTGGAAAATATGGATTTAAAAAAAAAGCATTGCATTTTCCAATATTTTTTTGTACGAAGAACTAAGGTTGCCACCCAGAGCCTATGGACAATGACGTTCTCCTGTTCTTCTATAGATTCTTTGACCACCGTCTGGTGATTATAAACAAAACCTAGCTTCGTTGGTAAATAAGATATTTTTCCACTCATCAATGCCCCAATTTGGATGTTCCCTAGCAAATTTAAGGCGTTCAACCCTGTGGTTTCTTAGCAACTCGGGTGCCGTTGCAGGTCTTCTTGCGTGTAATCCAGTCAGATAACCTTCTTCTTATCGTTCTCTCGCTTACTTGGACCTATCGTACGTCCTCCATTTGTTTTTTTACCTCCACAGAAGTTACTCTTCACGTAAAACATTAAGTCGAATAAAGCGATCATCTCGTTCATTCGTACACCTCTTTTTACCACATTGACTCCTTCTACTGTACTCACCATGCTGATTAAATCGATTTACAGCCCTTTGTACTTTACTTCTTGTGACGTTTAAAACACTTGCCACGTAATACTGTGACCGTCCATCCTTGATTAAAGCAATGGCTCTGGCAACATCAGTCGGAGACATATCCCTATTTAAAAGTAAGAACACCTCAAAAGTGACACATTAATTTACAAAAAACAATTTGATAGCTTTTGAAAGGCGTATATGACATGTCCAAGTATGGGATGATTCAACAAAACTGTCACTGTCATAGACCATAGGTTATGGATGGACCATAGCAACCTTAGTTCTGCAATGTTTTTATTTAAATCCATATTTTCCACAAAAATAAATATATCGAGGTGAACCAAAAACAAAACTGTTAAGAATAGATGGGACTCGATAATTAAAACAATATACGGTTTTGTCACTCTACAGAGTGTCTTAAACTTAAGGTAAAAAACAAAGTTTTGTTTAAACCTGCATATTATAAACGTACGACTATTTTTTAGTAATTAGAAATCTGTCAGATAGACAATCTCAAGTTCGTCAGATAGACGTTCCAACCTTAAAATTACTTTAGTTGATGATTTTTAAGATTTGTTTAGTAAAAGTGTTGCTAACTATAAATAGTATATTGTGCGACTAGTGTAAGAAAGATGAGATTCTTTGAGGTGGAGATTGCCACCCGAGCGTAGCTAGTACATTAACAAGCGAGTTAATCAACTACCACTGTGGTAAAAAATATCAAATAAAATTGGCTTTAAATTCGTTGTGGTAGTACCACAACGAATTTAAAGCCAATTTTATTTGATATTGTATCTGACAAATGAAGCTTAATGCTAACTTCAGCCCACTAGTGGGCGGCAACCGGTTAAAGTTAAAAAATAATATGGGTGTTGAATAAACTAGTATTCTCTTCTCCATTAAAAATACGAAAAACTTTGTGTTGGAATTAACAAATTTTAACCTCTTGGAACATCATTGTTTTTGATACTAAATATTAAAATTAATTAAGTTTAAACAACATTAGAATAAAAAATAATTAATAACGTGATATGATGTTGCGCCAATCTCAGTACACCCTGTTTAGATTATTTGTTAATTTAAATAGGCAGTTTATAAACTAGTTATAAACCCCGGAATAATTTGAAAATTTAAATTATAACAACAATTTAAATAACCTATTATTAATACTTTGCTATACATCATATACATTTTTTTAAATCTAAACTATTACATATTACAAAAATGTTCCTCATCCGTTGCACACACTGTATGAGGTGGTGCTAAAAACAGTTTACCGTTACCACAGGCACATAACTGAAAAATATTATTTCGTTTTTTTGTCACAATTGGCCTTTTGTTCACTTTGGCCGTGGGTAATTTTGGCATTAGAATTACACTAGACTCTAATTTTACAGCTCCCGCTTCCGACCTAAATGTCATGTTATCAAAGGATTCGGCGCTAATTTTGCCAGCCAGTGATTCGAGCTTTAGACCTTTTGGAGCGTAGATGGACAGTTGTCTCGTAGGGGAAGTCAACCTGTAAAAATAGTATTATTAATACTTTTGCTAATAATAAAATAAAATTTAAAACTCATAAATAATATATTTTTTCTACCCCGACCTTTAAAACGCTTATTATCGTACATGTTTCCATGACACTAAGGGCCCTATGCAGAAACGTTGACTGATTTACGCATATCCACTGATTTAAGTTTGAATCAATTTGGCAACATAACAAACTTTAAATGACCGTTAAGGCACAGTAAAGATATGTAGGTTATCTTTCATATACTTAAATATGTGTTTATTAAATTATAATAGTGAAACATTTTTAAAATGTATTATTAAATAATATTATTATAATAATATTTAGGTGTATATTTATTATTATAATAAATATACACATAAATACATTTATAACTGACTAAAACTTGGTTTTGAAGAGGATTGTGGCAATATAAAACACAACAATTGGGATATGTTCGCAGTGCAATGTTTTTTGTTACAAGTACCTAAATTTGCATTAGAAGATATGAAAAACGAAAATTACGGATTAAAGCCTCTGAAAAAAACAATGAAATTTTGTTGAAGGGTGAAATTATTATCATAATAATTATATTATAGGAATACAAGACCTGTTTCTAAAAGGCAATGCTCTTTTATTTATTCTTTTACAGGTACCAATAACCCCTTTTTAGGTATTTAGGCAAATGTTTTGAAAAATAAATGCAATGATGCCGATGGCATTTAGAGGAAAAAAAGACATTTCAAATTTGTGACAAGAATATAAAAAAATTTAGAAATAAACTCTAGAGGATAACATATGTTAGTTAATGCTTGATAAATTATGGCCTCAGAATAAACTTTTTTAATCAAAAGAAAATTGTGATAGAAAATGGGTGGGAGGTGGAGTCTCGAAACTTTTTGTAGCATGCATATAGTTTACCCTTGCCTGCCCCCCTGAACAAAATCCTGGCTACACCCTTGCTGGAAATGGAGCAAAAATCCCTGCTTTTCTAAAAGGTTAAATTAAACCCAATGAAAAAAATTGTGCATGCTTTATACACTTTGTTTTTTAAATAATTTATTTTAAAAGCTGTTACTTTTATAAAGCAAATTTTAAAATTTAATTGTTGCAGTTCTACTCAAGATTTTTTTAACCTGTGTATTTTATTTTGAAAATAAAAATATTTTTATTTCAGAGCATATTTTTAATTATTTGTAAAATAAATATTACAAATAATAAAAACAATTTGAACCTTAAATATAAAAACATGGTTTCATATACTGCCTGTTTTTGCTTTCTAGCAAAAACATTTGCTTTTACCTACAGGATGTATTTTTTATTTTCTTATAAAATGCCTTTTAAACTTGTATTATTGACAAAAACTGATAATAATATATAATATTATATATTATATAAAATTCAATTTGAAATACTCATGTTGATTTCATTTTCTTCTATGTTTAATAGTATATTTCTGGGCCCAAAACTAAATAGAATATTAATTTCCTATCAGAAAAAAAAGTCCCCTCTACCTTGTTGAGCCCTTTATTCAAAACCTACTGTTTCTATTTCTAAGATCAAGCTCATAATTTAAAAATTTAAAAGTAGAAAATAAGTTGAACATGGTCTAAATTTTAAAATTCTTCAAAAGGATTTAAAAAATAAGACAAATATTTTTTAAACACAATTTTGGTATTATTTTATAATCTTTATTATTTATTAAATAGTATTTTTTTTAATTATCTATAATTATATATTATAATATATTACTTATAATTAAATTAAACATTTATATTTTTTTATTTAAAAAAATAAATCAATAAATATTTTTACCCAAGTTTAATGTTAGGGGTAATTTTACAATGAAACTAAAGAAAGTTATAAATAAATTGAAGACATTTTTTCAAAAACGACACATGTCCAAAATCTGCATTTTCAGGTTGAACAAAAAACTTAAAAAAATGTCTGATATGCTACTAGATCGATTTGAGCATTTTGTGCCATGTGCGGTTTTTGAAAGAAAGTCTTCAATTGATTTCAAGTATTCAGCTTTACAATCAGACAAAAAATATTTGATATAATTAACATGGTAGTAATTTTATCTTTAAAAAAATGTTATAGGTATGTTTACCTTCTGAATTTCTTTTTTTTGTATATATTTATAAACAAAAATACTGTCTATTTTAATTCATATTTTAAATCAGTCGTTATCGACTAAATTATATGAACCGATTTACCTTTTATATGATTTTAATTGTAAAAAAACGAATCTAGTAAACCATGACTTATTTTAGCGAAATTATTTCCTTTGGTTAAAAGCAAATTTCAAATAAATCTTGATAAAATATTAATTGTTTTATGTCCAATTTAAAATGTCAACGATTAGAAATCGACTTTTTTATGGAATATATGAACGTTGAAAGATAATTACCCAATTTATTTTATTAAACAACAGTTTTTAAAGAAAAATAATCCGTTGCCATGTCGTGCAAAAACCTATATTCAATGATATGCTAAATCAGTTGATATAAATAAATTAACTTTTCTGAATACGGCCCTAAGTGACCCTTTAAATGTACATTGACAAGTTATGGCTTTAAGGCTCTTCAGTCACAGGCTTAAGTTAGCAACAGGTTTTTAGTCACGGGCTGTTAGTTAGTTTTAAGTTAGTTGACAGTTATCAAATCTCATACAATCGTTAAAATAAAGAGCCTTGTAAAATAATACTAATTGAAAAAAATATTTTATTATCCCAATACAAAAATACAAAAGTATTAAATAGTTTTTTGAGGCCAGTATTTTAAAAGATTATATGAACCTTTTGATTTCGCTGTAGTAGTACAGTTAACTATATTTAACTGACGAACACAAAGAAATATTTAAAGCCAATTTTATTTGTTAAAATTTTGACATCTCGTCACCTGAGAATTATTGTGTTCTATCTACATTTTCTTTTTTTTATTCAGGTTAGTCTTGTTTTAAGTCTTAAAGATGATATTGATCTATCTATGGGGCAAAACACCGCAAGTGTTCCCACCTAAAAATGATGTTTTCTCGGATTTTAACAAAACTTTGCCAAATCATTGTCCTATTGGACTACCTTAATTTTCCAAATGGGGGGCAAAAAGGATTAGCGGGTTGCAGAGATACAGGGGCCTGAAAATTTATTTTTTTTCTCGTGCGCTTAAAATACGTCGAAATATTCATGTATATAATAATTTTTTTTAAATTGATAATCAACATATCGTATAGCATTTTTTCCACGCTTTACGATAAAAATGGTCTCGAAAGCGAGAAAAAATTTTTTGGTTATAAAAAAACGATTTTAAAAATATATTTGTTTTTTTCTCGAAATGCGACCCATTTGATTTTTTTAAAATTAATATCAAAAGAAAGCTTGTTCAATTCCCTAAATTTTGATGTAATATGAAGATGGGATCCCAAGAATAAGTCTAAAAAAATAAGGGTTGAAGCGCGTAGGGACCGTGCGGCGAGCAGCTACTAGTATACCTATTGCAGCGGTGCTCGGTCAACTACTTAGTTGATTAATTGGAGGGTCAATACAACTTTTAAAATTATTTTTATATAGAATACCAAAACATGGGTTTTAATTGCTATTAATTTGAACTATTGCAATAAAATCAATGAGTTTAAGGCAAAACGACACAGGCGCCAAAATTTTTAAATTTTTTAGAAGTACATGTAAATTCTCTATCGACCTTCTTCTAAAAAAAAATTAAAATTTGGCACTTGTGCTGTTTTGACTTAAACCCATCGAAAAATACATTTATTTATATATAAAAATAATTTTAAAAGTTGTATTGACCCTCCAATTAATCCACTATAGTGGTAAGTAGTTGACCGAGCACCGCTGCAATAGGTATACTATAGTAGCTGCTCGCCGCACGGTCCCTACGCGCTTCAACCCGTATTTTTTTAGACTTATTCTTGGGATCCCATCTTCATATTACATCAAAATTTAGGGAATTGAACAAGCTTTCTTTTGATATTAATTTTAAAAAAATCAAATGGGTCGCATTTCGAGAAAAAACAAATATATTTTTAAAATCGTTTTTTTATAACCAAAAAATTTTTTCTCGCTTTCGAGACCATTTTTATCGTAAAGCGTGGAAAAAATGCTATACGATATGTTGATTATCAATTTAAAAAAAAATTATTATATACATGAATATTTCAACGTCTTTTAAGCGCACGAGAAAAAAAATAAATTTTCAGGCCCCTGTATCTCTGCAACCCGCTAATCCTTTTTGCCCCCCATTTGGAAAATTAAGGTAGTCCAATAGGACAATGATTTGGCAAAGTTTTGTTAAAATCGGAGAAAACATCATTTTTAGGTGGGAACACTTGAGGTGTTTTGCCCCCTATATATAATTGGGGTAGAAATTGTAAAGTTTAAGGCTTAAACTGTACAATTTCTACCCTAATTATATATAGATAGAACAATATGCATCTTTAATACTTAAAACAAGACTAACCTGAATAAAAAAAAGAAAATGCAGATAGAACACTATAATTCTCAGGTGACGATCTGTCAACTGCCAACGGATTTTACTTCACATTTCCCAAATTTATAATAAAGCTAAATTTATCCCGTGACTAAAATACCCAAAATCAACTATTCCTAACTTCAGCCCGTGACTAAAACGCCATAAAGTCCCAGTTCGTCAATGTAGGATAAGATACAATTATTTAAAATGATAAAAGCACTATTTATGTATTCCTGGATATGTTGACATAAACTTAATACAATGCATATGAACATATTAATCTTTCGTTGTTATGATTTACCAAGAAAGTTTTAAATAATTTGCTACATAACATCTGCTCTCTTGGAAAAGTTTTCCTGCAAATTAATTTATCCTTGTAGATTTTATGACCATTTATAGTTATCTTCGTATACAATCTGTTACTCATCCATTAAATCTTTCCAAATTTCGGGAAATTTTATTACGGGCTACAATTTTATGTTACAGATAACGTCTTTCATGCAACAGATGCGGTGGCGTAAGAAGATATATACATGCCAAAAATTCAAATTAAATAAAGTTTTTTCCTAACTAAATCGATGCACTCCGGATTAAATTTATTGCATAGGTTGATATTAAACTTTGGCAATCATCTTTAATTTATGAAAAAAGTTAAGATTTGATTATAAATCTTAATAAAAGCATGAAAGTAATTAAACATTAATCGAGACAAACTTCAACCTCTTTAGAAATATTTTCATCATTTTAAGTATAAATCCCATTTCGCAGATATTTTGTTTTAAATTTAAACAAATAGCATTCTTATTTACCTTAGATCGTGTCCTGGAGGTGCTCTTACTAAAGGCGTCTGAACTGCCTTTCTAAAAATTGTTCCTCCCTCACCGTTTACCTTTAAAGTTTCACTACCAACGTAAACTTCCTCCTTATTCGCTGAGAAAAGCAGTGTTCCCTTATCGTCAATTACCTTAAAATTGCTTGACATGCATTCAAACTGATCATCACCTAAAAAATTATTTTGTTTTATGTTTAAAACTAAATTATTTACTTTAAACAATTATTTTACACAACGCTAAATTTTTAATTTTATTAGAAGTGTAGTAACATACAAAAAACAAAGATTATCCCGGCGCATTCGCCATTTTTGTAACTGAAGACTAAAAGAATAAGATATTTTATTGTTTCGACAATATAATTCATTAATATTAGAACCAATAAAATGCCAGTATTCCATAGTGACGTATTTTATCACAGCGGCAATATTTTTTATCATCTTGTTTACACGTTACTATGAATTTTGACGTTTTTTTGATTTGACATTTGTTGTCATTTCAATTCTGTTTTTGATATATGAGTCAATCCAAATGAAAACACCAAAAATGAATTTAAAAGTGCGCTGCATGATTTTTTATTGTAATGAAAAAATTTGAGGATGATCTTTTAGGTGTCAAATATGAAAATCCGTTGCCGTTTTAATTTTTTGTTGCTTTACTTTTATTTGGCACCCCTTAGAAGTCTGAAATAGTGTCAATTTCTTACTCTCCTATAGTGGGCCAGAACTTTTTTTCTGTGACAAATATTGAAATAATTTTAATTTTGTTTTACTGTCCAGTAAGTGTGTTTTCGATATAAATTATTATTATCCAATTAGTTAATCTCATAAAAGAATGGTAAACCACTAAAGATTCATGATAATTTGCCAATTTTTGTGATTTTTGTATGGCTCCTGTGCCTATTCTACTGAATTTAGAAGGTTCATTTTTTTCAGGTATAAAGTACTTATACAATAGAAAACGTAACTATTATTTTAAGTTTCTAGACTATCAATTTCTTTATTAAAAAAAATTATTGAAAATTGATCATTCTCAAAATTAGCCAATTTTGCCCTCAGAAATCATTATGTTGAGGAAAAAATAAAAATCTGAAACTTTCAGGAAATGTAGTCCCCACCTTAATCTTTTCAGTCTAGTTAGTCTTGTTTTGTTATTTTTATTCCTTTAAAAGATATATTAATTTTTTTAATGCCCGTTTAGTAGCGATATTGTTAGTTTTATTTATAATTTAAAATTTAGATGGCTTTGACTTTGTCAATTCATGTTTGGTAGAGAAATGTCAGAGCTGCCAAAAATATTTCATAAATTTTATTTGTCTGTATTTAAATTGTGATTTCAAAAAGTTTGCAAGTTTGCAAGTGTAATAAATGACGGAGTGTTCGAGATTCATGAATTTAATTGCAATTAAAAATGCAAGAACATATCATAATTTTGTACCTCTTTCTTATAGAAAATATTTAAGTTCTGAGAAGTTTTAAATTGTTAAAAATAAGCAAAAACCAAAAAATATTCTAAATAAACCCCTTTATTATAACATGTTTTATTTTAACCAGTTACCTAAAAACTAAAATTTAAAGAAGTATTTACAGATTGTGTACATTTTTTCCAACACTAACATTTAAAATACATACATTTAACTTTTAACTATTTAGTGCCTTACTAAAGGGATCAAAATAATAGAACAAGACTAACTTGGTTTAAATTGTGAAAGAAACCGACAAAAAACTGCTTAACGCATTTTTATACGTTTAAATTAACTCTTTATTAATTTCACTTATTATACTTAACGATATTTATATAATGGTTATATATGGTTTATAAATGGTTTATAAACCATAAGGATCTTAAATATATTTTTTACATTCTTCTTCTTTAAACACCAATTAGCCAATTAAATATTTCATTATAATGTATATAATATATATATTATATATATATATATATATATATGATTTTTCAATACATAAAATATAACATAACTACCAAAAATATCAAAACTCTCAAAAATATTTCATAATTATTATTTGTGGTATTCCTTTGGTGATTTTAAAAAGTTTTATATATTACATATTATGTTATATACAAAATTTACCAAAGAAATACGCACAAATAATATTTATGAAATATTTTTGACAGTTCTGACACTTCTCCACCAAACATGAAAGCCATCTAAATTTTAAATTATAAATAAAACTAACAATATCGCTACTAAACGGCCATTAAAAAAATTAATATATCTTTTAAAGGAATAAAAATAACAAAACAAGACTAACTGGACTGAAAAGATGAAGGTGGGGACTACATTTTCTGAAAGTTTCAGATTTTTATTTTTTCCTTAACATAATGATTTCTGAGGGCAAAATTGGCTAATTTTGAGAATTATCAATTTTCAATAATTTTTTTAATAAAGAAATTGATAGTCTAGAAACTTAAAATAATAGTTACGTTTTCTATTGTATAAGTACTTTATACCTGAAAAAAATGAACCTTCTAAATTCAGTAGAATAGGCACAGGAGCCGGACAAAAATCACAAAAATTGGCAAATTATCATGAATCTTTAGTGGTTTACCATTCTTTTATGAGATTAACTAATTGGATAAAAATAATTTATATCGAAAACACACTTACTGGACAGTATAACAAAATTAAAATTATTTCAATATTTGTCACAGAAAAAAAGTTCTGGCCCACTATAAGAGAGTAAGAAATTGACACTATTTCAGACTTCTAAGGGGTGCCAAATAAAAGTAAAGCAACAAAAAATTAAAACGGCAACGGATTTTCATATTTGACACCTAAAAGATCATCCTCAAATTTTTTCATCAAAAAAAAAAAAATCACGCAGCGCACCCCATTTGGTGTTTTTATTTGGAATGACTCATATATCAATAACATAATGAATTATAAACTCTAAAAGATCGTTGGGTTGGTGTAAACGATAATGAAATTAAGGTAAGTTTTAATAAATTAAAGTCTTTTTATATTTTAAAGCACATTTTAATTTCAAATGTCAAACTAAAAATTCGTTAAATCCTAAAATTCATTATATTTTCTTACTAAATATAACTCGTGGTATGATTAATTATCGATGATATTTACTCATTAAAACCGAAGCAGCACATTTCACTCGTCCTGCGGACTCAATTCGAAAATATCATCGATGATAATCATACCACTTGTTATATTATGGGTGAAAATAACAAGAGATGAAGTCGGCTCTATACCAACTTTGCACTATATAGTTTAAAGTCTATTAAATATATAATTTAGATAAATTTATTGTACGTGTGGATTAAGAAGCAAATAAATTACGCAGATTTTCTAATTTTTATCCAAAATTCTGTGCAGTTAAAGCTACTCTTTTAGAGCCCAAAGAATCATCTTCTATGGTGGATCAGTCCATATTCGCTCTTTTTATCTTACAGTTTGACGTATGTTTTGGCCTTTTCGACCATACCTCTCTCCATCCGCCTGCTTTCAAAATTTTGAGATCATTATGTACTTGATATTCCCATCTTATTTTTGGCCTCCCTCTTGATCTATCCTCTACTGGTTTCCACTGTTATTTTTCTTACTACTTCTCTGTATTTTCTGTACACGTGTCCAAACCATATTTTTGTCTGGTGTAAAAATGAGATACGAGGTGTGTTCAAAAAATATCGGGAATTTTCGTTTTTTGAAACAAATTTATTTATTCGCCTACATTAATGTTGTCGCCTTCAAAATAGTCCCCATTGGATATTATGCACATGTGCCAGCTCTTCTTCCAATACTCGAAACACTTCTAAAACTCGTTCTTTGAGATAGCTTTTAGTTCTTTCAGCGATGCGCTTTTAATGTCATCTATGCTCGCAAAACGACGGCCCTTTAAGGTTCTTTTTATTTTTGGGAATAGGAAAAAGTCAGACAGAGGCATGTCTGGCGAATATGGAGGCTGGGGCATCATTACAGTATTGTTTTTGGCCAAAAATTGTGTTCAAAATTTAACAATTTTGCGTTTCATACCCAAAACATTTGAAAAAATCTCATGGGATGAGCCAATCGATATACCAACATCATCAGCGACTTCTCTGATGGTTTATAACCATTTCTTCAACTTTTTCCATATTTTTATCGGTCGTTAATGTGCTTGTGCGTTCCGGGCGTTCGTCATCTTCAACGTCTTCACGGCCATCTTGGAAACTCTTGTTTTACTTATAGCAGACTCACCATAGGCCTTTGTTAACATTTCACAGAATTTATTTAATTTTTTAAGCAAAATTGGATACAAATTCTCTTTGATCCATTTCTTTTAACGAACGAAAATCGCCGAGCTCATAAAACACGTCTAACCTTAGCGGCTGCCACAGACAAAGTAAACAATGAAAACAGCTAAAGTTTTTATCATACTTCGGGGGCATGTATACCAACATAATAAATTAAATTTTGTGACAACCGTACCCTCCGAAGCCGCGAAATTTAATAAATTCCCGTTATTTTCTGAACACACCCCGTATTTATGTTTATTAGGAATTGATGTAAAAATCACACATATCATATTACAGCCTGCTGCAGTAACAGGACAAAAATATATTAAACCTCCTAAAAAATATTTACATTGTTACTTCTTGCATCTTGATTTTTAATTATAATTCTTTTATCAGGGTCTTAGATTATAATTAGGTACAATATACAATATACAATGATAAATTGCTTTTAAAAGTAACCACAGATATTGATTTATTAAAATGTTTTGTAATTGGAAAATATATATAATACTCGTGAGTATTTATTATAGGGTGTACGTAAAATGTTCGGCCAAACTGTATTAATTTCATGTACCCATAAAATAAAGCTAAGGTTGGTTGCATCAACTTATTCTTCATCTGTCGTGGATTTTCTGAATTCGAGAATTTCCAGTTACATGTTCTGCAAAGAGTCTACTTTTCTTATGTATAGATGTTTGTTTGTCTAGCGTGTCCCGGTATGATTCCGACAAGGTCAGAAAGGTTTTGACGAGATAGCTGTAGACTGTATTGAGCCAGATTGTCACAGATTACTGATTATAGTTTTGGTCTGAAGTCATGAACTTCTTAGTTGTTTTTCATGGTTTTGTTTTATTATCCGAATTATTGATTTTGTTAGAGGTGGAACTGGTTCAGGAACTACTGGCAACCCTGTCTTGCAAGTTAATCAGCCCTTTTATTATCTTTAATACCATTGTGTCCTTTAAGGCATACCAGTTCTAGTACATTGTTTCTTCTTATCAGTTGCAAGGCAGCAATGCATTTCGCTACCTCGAGTCAACTACATTGTGACCTAAGGCCAGTAAGAAAGCCCTGCTGTCTGAGGAGATTCATATTATTTTTCCATTTACATGGATTTCTATTATTTAACGAGAAGCCACAGTATGCCTGTGATAACAAAGTGAAATATGGTCGTATAGATGCTCAGTGTTATACTGAGACGTTAGATGGGCTCTGACAATACATTCCCACTCCAAAAGCTATAAATGTTCTGGATCCATCTGTAGATAAAACTTTTAAGTAAGCATTTTTAAATGTTTAACTTTTATAGTTTTGTTTCATTTGTTGCACTAAATTTAGGATATGTATGTATATAAAATGGATAATCATAATATTTCACGAATTCGGACCTGCTTAATTTAAAATAAATCTTAAAATGTGCTTTAGAATTCAAGTTAAGTTTTAAAATATAATAATAGTTTAAAATTATTGTTTTAATATTAAAGATTTTAGGGAAAACATGTCTCTCTTGTTATTTATTTTATTATTGATTTAAGTTAGAGCCATGATAAGTTTTTTTAATTAATTAAATTTTGACGATGCACTAAATAGGAAACTTTTTAATAAATATTTATAATTTAAAAGTGAGTTTACAAAAGAAACTTCTTACATTAAAATTTCCTAAAATAAAAATAATAATAATATTAGTGGAAGTTACCTAATTTAAGCCAACTGCTTGATTTTCCTTTTTCATTTCTGGCTCTCAAAGTGAAATTTCTCGTGGATTCAAAAACAATTGGATGACCTACTCTAGATCGTATCGATGAAACTATTAGATTTCCTAATATGTAAGCTTTTCCATCTAATTTTAAACCTCCTGAAACTATTTTAAGCTGTCCCATTCCAACCTAAAAATATACATATTTAAATAATATGGTTTTAATTGGTTTTATTTATTTAAAAAGTAACGGAAATTTTAGTTTTTATCGGATTAGTCAGATTTACTTAATGTTGTTCTTTTGTTACTTAACATGTCTGAAATATACATACATGCAAAAATGTAGGTATTTCGGATGTCTAGTCTGTTGTCAGCTGCCTAAAAGTTTACATGTGTTTTGGTACCTTTGGCGGTTTTTTAATTGTTGAAAACATAGATTATAAAACATGCATTTACTATAAGTATTATAAACCTTTCCAAACTTGTCGTAACGGCCTTAAAAAAGATGAGCGCGCTCGACGAAATTTGAAAGTTTCAATACAAATAAAATAAACAAAAAAAATAATTTTATTCGAAATCGGAACTTACTGCCGATTTAATCCGAGTATTGTATGCAACCCATTATACATTTTAAGATGTGTCTACTGCTCCTCAGCAGCAACTAAATAATATTTGAAAAAAAGCACCGTCGCGGAGGTCGATTGGACCCTTTCATAAAATGTGGTTAATAAAAATAATAAATTAATTTTATTAATTAGATTAAAAAATCTCCGCAAAAAACGGTATACGTACACCGAAAAAAATAATGTAGCTGAGTTAACATTTGCCTAAATGTCATTTTTAAAAATGTTGTTTCAACAAAAAACCTATTGGATTAATCTATATTTTGGTGTTAAAGCAAAAGTCAGAGTTTGTCAAAGTTTATTTGTTCATTTAACAGTTTAAATATTAATTTAACATAAACTAATATTTTGAATTAAAATGTTTATCGTACTTTGATTTAATAGCTGGAATTTGTTGAATCAACTACTGAAATTTTTAGGATTACCTAAAAAAACTATTACGTTAAGTTTAGTTGCTCTTTAATCCAAAACTTTAAATTTGTTCATTTAACAAATTTAAAATGTTACTTTAAAATTTAAAATGTAAAATTTGCATTCATAAAATTGCCGAGAATGGCGCTTCGAACACTCACGCCACGTCATTAGACAATGACGTTTTCTTACATCTCGCCTTAGTTGGCTTACGATTAGGTGTATATAAGATCAGATATCTGTTTGTTTAAGGTGTGTTTCACAGTAGAACTTTCACTACACCATATTGCCCGACACTGTTAAGACCCTCAATACAGGGCGAAACAGTCTGTCGGTATTTGAAGTAGGTGGAACACATGATACAAAGATGTATCATGGGTGGAACACGCTCAAAACAAAAACTCTGGGCGAGGTGAAGGTTCAATTCTTTCTATTTATATATAATAATATATTATTTCCATAATTTTGTTTTGGACACCAACCTTTAAAGAATTTTACATTTTCAGAATGTTAATTTAACGTTTTATTGGTGTTAAGTGAATATGCTAAAAAGGTTACCTGGACATTTCAAGAAATTTACCTTAACACCCTAAGAATGTTAAATTAACCAAATTAGCAGATTAGAACAAATATTCTTATTTTGTTCATTTGACTGTTATTTGTTGTTCAATTAAACAATACAATTTGACATTTTTAGATGGTTAAGTAAACGTGCAAAAACCATTGCTTGTATTTAAAGTGCATAAAGAGTTGAATTAATATTTTTTTTGTTGTTTCAACAGCTTATTTTTTTCAGTGTAGACACTTCTTACATTCAATTTACATTTGATTTGATCATCAAATGACATTTGATTTAATTATCAATATTAAGTATTAGTATTATTAAATGTGATTTCGGATAAAATTTAATATGTTACTCGGCATTAAAGTCTTTTTTTTATAACTCACGTGGTTAATTGCCTCGGTTTTCGCCTCGGCAGATAATTATGAGGCGCTGTTTGTGCCATAATTATGTTGCTAATATAATATATTATATATATATATATATATATATATATATTTATATATATAAATATTATTTATTTTTGTTTGATTATATATATTTTTTAAATTTATTTTTAAATTTACTTAATATATTTATTATTTTACTTAAAATATATTTATTTTTTAAGAACAATATGTTTATTTTTGTGTGTTAATATTAATAATATTATAATAATATTATTAATAATATTATGTTTTTTTGACATATGCTAATATATATTTGTTTTTTTGACAGACAATTCAATGTGGCAACGTTGAATTGTCATTTAACCCGTTGTTCATAGGTGTCGTTGTTGTATTAAGTTTATTGATACTTTACCGGCAATATTTTTTGAATTTTTGAAGTTAGATTCCATTAACGACTTTGTTTTTATTTATAAACGAAAGAAATAGTAAAGACGGTAAATTTTTTGGGGTTATTTAAAACAGGTAAATACCCAATAAATTTTTTTAATTAATTTTCTGGAATATTTTTTGTAAAAGCGAAATTTTAGTAATAATGGAAAGAAGTAGTCCAGAGTTGCGTAGCACACTTGTTTTGAGTAGCCACCGAAAATTCACCGAATTTTTCTTTCGGTTTTAAATTTAAACAATCGCTGATAGAATCTAACCTTAAACATTCAAAAAATATTGCCGGTAAAGTATCAGTAAACTTAAAACAACAACGACATCTATGAACAACGGGTTAAATGACAATGCAAAGTTGCCCCATTGAATTGTCTGTCAAGAAAACAAATATATATTAGCAGATGTCAAAGAAACATAATATTATTATAATATTATTAATATTAACACAAAAAAATAAATATATTATTCTTAAAAAATAAATACATTTTATTTTAAGTAAAAAAATAAATATATTAAATATTTTTAAAAATATATTAAAAAAATACGAGGGTGGTTCAAATATAAACCGGAATTTTGCTATAAATTTTTTTATTATTAAGTTACAGAGCTGAAATTTTTTACAATTTCTCTAGATAGTCTCCGTCACACTCTACACACTTTTGCCACCTCTCCGGAAGCTTTCGGATGCCTTGTTCGTAAAAATCTCTCGGCTTTTCACGTAACCATTCGCGCACGAAGGATTTTACCTCCGCATTGCTTTTGAATCGCAGTCCGCCAAGTGCCTCTTTCAATGGACCGAACAAATACTAGTCGCATGGCGACAAATCGGGACTGTAAGAAGGGTGTTCCAGTGTTTCCCAATCCAATTCGTTCAATGTTTTCATCAAACTTCCCAGCGTGTGAATTTCTGCTCAAAATTCAGAAGTCTTGGCACCCATCTGGCTGAAATTTTGCGGTAACCGAGCCGTTTATGAATTATTTGCTCAATACCTACCTACGCTGATGCCCAATTCTTCAGCCATATCGCGTACAGTACTGCGTCGGTCTTCCAAAATGAGTTTTTCTACAGCGCTGACGTTCTCATCTGTAACACTTGTTTTGGGGCGCCGCGCATATGGCAAGTGCCACCACTTCTCGGCCTTTTCGGAAAGCGGAACACCATTCATACACTTGAGTATTGGAAAGGCACTCATCCCCGAACTGCTCAAGTAATTTTTGATAAAATTTCCACGGATTTTACATTATCTTTGACCAAAATACGAATAATAATGCGTTTCGCAACAGACACTGGTACATCCTTCTCGCTCATGGCTATAACTACACTGAAAAGCGAGGTTACGGAGTCCCGGCTGTTCTCTACGCTTCGTAACAGACCAGTCTAACATCCAGTGCAGCCACTTTTACGACACTAAATTTTTCGACCGTTTATTCAAAAATTCCGGTTTATATTTGAACCACCCTCGTATATATATATTCAAACAAAAATAAATATATATTAGCAACATAATTATGGCACAAACGGCGCCTCATAGATAATTTCCACATTCGTGATAAAAAATACGACTTTATTGCCTTGTTACATAAATAACTATTACCGTGTGTAATATCATTTTTATTTTATTTAACTAAATGTCACTGCTTGACAATATTATTAATTAAATTGGTCAGTTACATTAAATCTTAAATTATCGTTAAATTGAAAAATCTAAAAAAATATTCGATAGGTCAATTTTAAAATTTATTATTTAACGTATAAACATGATATTTTTTACTCCATTTATATTTATATTATTTTAATATTTATGTTTTTCTGTATAATCTATATAAATATAAATACAAATACAAATTATTTATTAAAATATGTATATTGCGATCATAACTAATATTGATGTTTGTTTACTTTATAGATTTATACGGATTAAATGCAGAATAAAACAAAAAATAATTTTAAATGTGATGTGGAATAAGAAAATCTACTAAAAACTGTTTTTTGAGAAAATGTTATTAGCAGTGAAACGGTTAAAAAACAGGTAGCGAGAAACCTACCAACCACTACACTTTTCAGCCAAAATCTGTTTTCTGATGTTATCAAGTTGTCATAAAGGAATCGAGTTTTAGTAGTGCACAAAGTCTCTTAACTTCGATACGGAGCATAAGTGTTGTTTCATAGTCTTACTAGTGTGTCTTTTGTCAGAATTAATAAATCACAAAAATAATTTGTATTTCGTATTTCATATAACAAAAATACGTGTAATTCGTATTTTTATTTTCTATCAAATTTTAAGCAAAAGATTTTTGTACCCTTTACAATGGAAAATCAGTATATCAATATAATATAATTAATATAATATTGATTAGATTAAATGTTAGGTATTCAAAGCAGATATATATTTTTGTTCGTTAAATTTATGAATGCAGTTGGAGTTAAAAAGACTTTGAAGGTATATTTTAAGGTCAGTAAAAATAAGACAATTTGAATTAATACGGCTTAGTTCAGATGATGATAACCGTTTTCTCGAGCGACCAAACTCATTACATTAATCTTAAAATTTTGCAACTTCTTTGCGCAATCTTCTTGTATCTGGAGGCTTGAAGAATATAAACCCAAAGAAATTAATTAACCAAATAATTTTCCAACAACTTCATTAATTAAGTTATCTGGCTTGGTTATCAAATTCATTCTCTTGTCGCAAAAATGCCAAATAACGAATACAATTATTTTGACATTAACGAGATTTCGGTTCGTTTCCACTATTGCATCTCCTTTTAACACATTTTTAATTAGGACTTTATGCTTTCTTACTTTTTCATTTTGTATCGTTATTTTAATGCCGCAAGGTATAATTACTTACTTGAATTAAACAATGGGGCGAAAATATCTTTACGAAAATAACGCTAAAATTTGCTTAACAATATATCTTTTATATTTTATTTTATTTCGTTATAATTATACTATTTTTAAACATTTTTAATTACATTATTTAAAAATATTATAATATAGTAGATTTTTTCTACTCATTTGTGTTTCATAATATCTCATTACGATACTCAAATAGATAAGTGATTTTTTTTACAAATTATGCAACACGATATGTAATTATTACTAAAAAAAGACATTTAGCATAAAGTCCCTATGTCATGTCGACGCTGGAAGCTAATTTTTTAACGCCAAAACAGTAATGTGATGAAATTTTGACGCTCGAAAATTAGACGCTAAAATTTAGCGTCAAAACTTTTTGACGCTCAAACCGAGGGACTGACAAGGTTAGTCTGACATTCATAAACAAACATATCCAAGCTTACTTGACCACAAAGGCAAAGATTTTTGTTTTGAATGAATTTACATTAATGATAAACTATGATAATAATAATTAGATTATATACGAGGTGTGTTCAGAAAATAACGGACAATTGTTAAATTTCGCGGGTTCGGAGGGTCCGGTTGTCATAACATTTTCTTTATTATGTTGGTATACTTGCCCCCGAAGTATGATAAAAAGTTTAGCTGTTTTCATTGTTTACTTTGTCTATGGCAGCCACTAAGGTTAGACGTGTTTTTTGAGCTCGGCGATTTTTCGTTCGTTAAAAAAAATGGATCAAAGAATTTGTATCCAATTTTGCTTAAAAAATTAAATAAATTCTGTGAAATGTTAACAAAGGCCTATAGTGAGTCTGCTATAAGTAAAACAAGAATTTACAAGTGGTATAAGAGTTTCCAAGATGGCCGTGAAGACGTTGAAGATGACGAACGCCCCGAACGCACAAGCACATTAACAACCTATAAAAACATGGAAAAAGTGGAAGAAATGGTTATAAACCATCAGAGAAGTCGCTGATGATGTTGGTATATCGATTGGCTCATCCCATGAAATTTTTTCGAATGTTTTGGGTATGAAACGCGTGGCAGCAAAATTTATTCTAAAATTGTTAAATTTTGAACAACATTTTTGGCCAAAAACAATACTGGAATGATGCCCCAGCATCCATATTCGCCAGACATGCCTCTGTCGGACTTTTTCCTATTCCCAAAAATAAAGAGAACCTAAAAGGGCCGTCGTTTTGCAAGCATATATGACATTAAAAGCGCATCGTTGAAAGAACTAAAGGCTATCCCAAAGATCGAGTTTTAGAAGTGTTTCGAGTATTGGAAGAAGAGCTGGCACATGTGCATAATATCCAATGGGGACTATTTTAAAGGCGACAATATTAATGTAGATGAATAAATAAATATTTGTTTCAAAAAACGAAAATTCCCGATATTTTCTGAACACACCTCGTAAGTAAGTATTGTATAAGTATACTAAAATAAATAATAATATAAATTAATATTACAAATTCATTGAAAAAAAATAACCATTTAAAGTAGTATAAAAATAAACTAATTATAGTATAAGGTAAATTTATGGGGTATAATTATTATACCCCATAAATTTACCTTATAACATATTATGTTATTTGTTATTATCCTATCTTTATATTACAATAAGAATTTAATTTATATTAAATTCTTATTTAATATATATTAAATTCTTATTGCAATATTGTGTTCATTTTATACCAATTATAATTATAATATAAAATTATAATATAAATATACCTTTTACTTATCTAATATGTGAACAGGATCAAGGCAAAAAAAAAACTAATTTTAGCTTTTGACGCTGAAAGACACTTGAGATGATCAACAATACTGCACTGTGACTTATTACTTTAGGTTAGGGAACCACAATTTAACATTATTCTCAATATTTTGGTAAATATAAAACATAAAGAAGTACAAAAGGTTTTCCCGCACTAGTGCGAGAATATGACGTCTTATGAGTCATAAGTTATGACACATTCGACGTATGTTATTCGTTATTTTATGTACCTACTATTTTAACCATGGACATACTAAAAGTGGACGCGTAACGCCTACCCTTGTGTATTGAATTAAATTAAAGTGAACCTACCATTATCATAACTTCGAAACGATGGGTGTTTTAATAATAAAAGCGTAAGAATAGCTTTTGCACAGCTGCTTTTTTTCTATAAGTTCATAAATTGTGCTTGAGAATATTTTGTAAATAAAAAAGCCTGTTTTAATATAAGAAACATTTAAAATCAATTGCTTTAATACTTACGGCAGAAAATTGCATAACTTTCATAAACCATAATGTAAGTCCTAAATTAATTCCAACTAACAGTATAATTACTAACATTAACATGTATAAACACTTTTTTCTCCAACCATACAAGGAAATAACATTATTTTGAAAACTATCTAATTCAGTTCTGTTTTCTAATGCAGATGTTGAAGGCTGTGATGGGGATTTTTTCATTCTGAAACAAAAAAGAAAATATATTAAAAATAGCGTTTGGAAATTTTAGTATTTTTTGTAATGTGTGGAATTGTAAAATAATAAATATTATTATTTTTACGCTATTTTACAATTTAATATATTATGTTAGCATTATCAATATAAAGTTTGACCGTCTTGGTACTATAGTCCACTCCCAAAAGTCCCACCAAGTAACTTTGATTCAAATATTTGAGGTTAATTTTTTATCATTGTCAAGCTAATTTCGTTTTATTTTCTGAAAATATTGCATATTTGCATGTTTTTGTATAAAAAGGTCTTAATTTGGAACACAAATAATAATACAAATATTGTATTATTATTATTAGACGAAATTAGCTCGACACTGACAAAAAACCTTAATTATTTGTATAAAAGTCACGTGGTAGGACTCTTGAGTGTGGACCATTCTCTATGGTGGGGATCAGAGACCCTTTAACCAATTGATGTTGGTTTAACCCAAGTAGCATTTATAGTGGTTAAAACGTGTTCGCCACATACTTGGAACTGTAAAGTATATTGCCAAAATCTCTGCCACGTGGTAGAAACGGTTCTATTACGTGGAAGTGACTAAAATGGGGAACACTTTTTTAGTGTCAGTTACGTTTCAACAACGTTCTTGAATTGTATACAGACACGTTAATACCACGTTATGATTACGTTACTATAACGTGGAGGTATAGTGGACAAAACTTAATTGTAACTTTACTAATCTTTACTATATATTATACTATATTATTTATCTTATTATCTTTGCTTTCTCTGACTGGATATTTAACTAACACTGAATTATAATATTGTAAGAGTACTTGCAAATAATAACTAGAATTAAAATAATCCAAAGACATAAAATTAACAGGAACTAAATTTTACTGTAAAACATGGGTTATATAAGCACTCCCTATCGAAATATGTGGTAATAAAAAAGAATAAAAAAAAATAAATTTAGCGGATGTGAAAATTATTATCTAGAAGCCTAAAATATTTTTTTTATTATTTCTGGTCACCTGAAACCAATAAAGATGTATTAACGTGTTAAATTTGGTGCGGTAATAACCAGAATTATTTGTTTAAAACTACACATTTATTTCCCTACAATGGCGATTATTTGTAAACATGTCTGCTTTTGAAGAAGGGAACTTTAAAGTGGTAATTTTATAAGAAACGTGGAAATCACTTAAGCATGTAGCAAGAACGTGGCAATCACCACCCCAATTATATAATCAAGTTTTGCCACATTCAAGGTTTGGAAAAAGTTCCGAAAACATTGCCAAATATGATATACCGGGTTTACTAGTAGTAGTAAAGTGGGTATATTATACCCACTTTACTACTAGTACAAAGTAATACTTAAGTGATTTAATTTGGTTACAGTTACTATTCATAATCCACTCTAAAGTTTAGACAACTTTAAGGTGGTGTCAAAAGTGGTCATAACATTTCAGATACCAGACTAATACACCAAAAAGTTATAAAACTATAAAGTATATTCTGCTGGTGCAAATCACATGATTACAACTATGCTAATATAATATGGAGAAATTTTAACTGTATCGTGGTAGATTTAGTTATTTAAACGTTATTGCCACTCATTTGAAGTGGTAATATCAGTTTTTGTCACTATAATTTTAGTGACGAAAACTGATATTACCACTTCAAATGAGTAGCATTAATGCTACTTGGGAAGGGTGTCTAGTGGGGACCATAGTACTTTCACAACATTTTATGAAACTATACTACATAACATGTATGTTGATATATCTATAAGATAAATTCTGTCTAAAATTAAAATTTCCAATAAATTTTGCTTATATTAATATTCTAAAGATAATTAAGTATATCTTAAGTTAGCTTCTTTAGATTGGTATGTCTAGCTTGTCGTTTTTGTTGGCATTCTTAGAATAGTCCAAATAAAGAAAAAAATTCAAATAGTTACGCTTGAAAATTGGTACAAAGCATTAAATATTTCAGGTGGAGTTCCTACCCATCCTCTTTACTTTAAGTAAAAACTGCTTCCAAATCGAATTTAAACGGTTAGTTCATTTTTAACGGATAAATTTTGATTTTTACCGATAAACTAATACTGTCATTTTGAATGCTATTAAAACAAAATTCTAATAATAATTTCGTTATTTTATTTTTGTTTAGATGTCGCTCTATACAATGCTTAAATTGATAATACATTATTTTTTATAATAATATTTGTCGAAGAAAAAGTATAGTATGCAACTCCTTTAGAGATTAATTTTACTAAAAAATCGCTCGCAAGCTTTGCTGTATTGTATTTTTATTATTGTGAATGGAAATAGTTGGAGAAAAAGTAATTTTTTGTCGTTTAGTGTTTTTTGCTGATAAAAACATGTTTGCATTATTTGCTATGTATAGTGTAATATGCCGTATTTTCTAAGGTATTTTTACGGCAAAAGTATATAGATCCGAACTTTTTAAGGAAGTAACTGAATCACCTTAAAAGTAACTTTACTTAATAATTAGTAAATGCTGCTATGTGCGTCAGCTATATACACCAAAAATGATTGTATATACTTGTCGCGTGGTATAACGTTTATAGAAATAATAATATTTGGGACCAATAAATAAATATAATTTTTTTAGCTCAAAATATACCTAAATAAATTTGAAAAAAAGTATTTGCTAAAAGAAAACCAAATAAAGGCGATAAAACTAGGGCCTCCTAAATCAACATTGACAGAGACAGGAGCATAGAAAGTGGGTGGTATTACATTAAAATATTCATGTTCGTGTCATCGGTTGCGATCGCCTGGATATAAAGTGTTTATTCCTGTGAAATTTCATGCGACACGACCGCTGGGACCGTAATGGACGAAAGATCAAAATCCGAGCGCGTGCCGTTTCCGTCTTTAAAATAAAAAGCATATAAAAGAAAACCAATTTTGTACTTTCATTGTCTAAAGATGGTTTTTTTGTTTTAATTATAATTGTTTTAGTTAAAATATATATTTATTTTATTTATTTTTATTTATATTTTACATAACTTTTTATAGCCAACAAAACAGTTCTTATATTATATTGATTCCTTAAATTTTGGAATGTTTGTTAAAAATAAGTTAAGAAAAACGTTTTAGTACTTTTTAAGCCCTAAGACTTTACAATATTAAAACTTTAAAAATCCACAGGACTTTGGTTTTGTGCCGAATAAAATCCTTTATCAGTCTTTTAAGTGAACAGAATTAGTTCAGTATTATTTAAAAATGGTTTACAGTGTTGATCACCCTTTTGTTTTAAATAGTGAGTACGGAAATCGTGCAGCAAATTTATTCAATAAACACCACCCGGATAGGCATGTAAATAGAAAATTCGTTTTGAAGTTGGTGGCGAAATTTCGAGAAATAAGATCAGTATTGAAAAAATCTGGGTTCAGTCAGGAGTTTTTGCTGATCCAACATTGAGCACAAGGAAATTAGCTACGGTTAATAATAATAATAATAATAATAATAATGCCTTTATTAATAGAAAATAGGCAAAGTTTAGCAAAAGCTACTCTTCCACTTAACCCATATTACAAAAGAAATTAAACAAGAACAGCAATTGTATAATAACACAATCGAATAATCTGTAAAATAAATACATATCAGTGCTAAAGAAAATATATAGTTTTTAAAATATGTTTAAGATTAAGTACACTCATAAATCTATTTTTTAATTAGGTACCCAATAAAAAAAATAATAGGAAATAATAATAAATGCAAAACCCGACAACGATCTACAGAGAAAAAAAAAAGTTTATTCAAACTGAATACTTAAGTATTTTTGTTTTAGATTTTTCCTGCATTGATTTATATTTAGACCTTTAAGAAAATTATAGTTTTCATTGTATAAAGTAACAGAAGCATATGTAAATGATTTGCAAAACCAGGCAGTAGAGTGTTTAGGCATTGTCAGTTTATTGACTTGGCGTATGTTTACTTCATGAACATCATTTCTAAAAACTAACTTTTTCTTAGCGATAAAGGAGATGAATTAGCTAGCACTTTCAGGGTCAGGATCAAATGTGAAATTTTCCACTGATTTTCCATATAAATCCAATTTAATTCTTTAAATTTTCACTTATGTGATCGTACTTACTCAAGCCATATATAAACCTATTTTGCACCTTCTGAATACGGTTTTTGTCTATTTTGTCTAAAAAAGTACGTTTTATAAACTCAACTTTCAATTGCCATAATTGTTGTTACTGGTCAGATGCAAATCCAAGGGTTTTCCACGAAGTCTAGGAAGGTAGAACCCATTTTTCTATATGAAATTACTAGAAGATACAGTTCATCAACAATGACTGCTACTTGGAAGACCATTTAATGTTCCAACAAGATGGGCACCACACTTTGCACTGCGTATTGGAGACTTCCCTGGACAATGAATTGGATAAATTTGGACTCTGAGAGTCCGACTCTCCTAGACTTTTTTAGGTTGGGTCATTTAAGAAGTAGTAAATTTGTATTTTAAAGTTAGCGGCAGACATTGTAAGCTCAATTGATAAACTTTGTTCTACTATTCTTATAATTCGCGATAAATTTCACTTCTCTAAAATAGATGTTCCCCTCGAAACTGAAGTTAAGGCGTCTGCTTACTAAAAAACTCTTGTTTAGTCTTTGATGGGCCACCCTGTATATAGCAAATAATATTGGAAATATTTTCACGCATATATTTGTCTTTACTCGGTTAACTACAAGAACATAAATATAACACTTTATTGCGACTATAAAGTATTAAATTGTCAACATAATAATAAAATAGGATTATTTCGTTTAAATGTAATGAAATAATTATCATTTAAAATTGATATATGGCTAAACTTTAATAAAGTGTAGGTTGTTTAATAGGTTTAAATAAACCATACCCAAGTAGCATTATAGTGACGAAAACTTCGAATAAGTGGAATTGCGATAAAATAACTTAATCTACCATGAAGTTGAAATATCTTCATATAATATCAGCATGGTTGTA